CTCATACATTCAAGGCATTCAGGTCATTGTTCTTTTATGGTATTCATATGTTATAATTAATATTTGTAGAATAAATTATAATTAATAAGGCAGCATGAAAGCATTTAAAAATATTCTTTCAAAGCTATGTGAGAACTTGCAATAGTGTCTGTCAGACACATCCTACTGCAGACTAACAAGCCAGAACAACACCTCCGTTGTGTGTGTGTCTATGAGAGCTGAGGTAAACCAATATCACTCCAATATCTGGTTCTCACTTCACTCCATATTGTAGATTCAGGTCTCCACTCAAAGGTAGAAGAGCAATAAACATACTTCATCAAGTACTTAATACATAAATACGGGGTAGCGTAGTGGTTATGGCACTATGCTACAAGCTGGAAGGTTGCGGGTTCAAGTCCCAATGAGGTCATTGGATTTTGTAATATATGTGTAAAGACAATGAAATTAATGGTAACTAGATCTAGATAATATTATTCAGATGACAAACCCCCTACATTAGGGTGGTACAGTGTATACTGTGAAGATATGCACGAGAATTAGATGTAAAACTGACAATTTCCTTATCCAAATGGTTGTAATACCTGTATGGATTGTTGAATGATAATGATAAATAAATAAATTTCTCTACAATAAAATAATGTGGGGCACATGGTGGCATAGTTGGTTGAGGCACTATGCTACAAACAGGAAGGTTGCAGGTTCAAGTCCCAATGAGGTGGATTTTTTCAATTTACCTAATCCTTCCAGCTGCACTATGGCCCTGAGTTTGACTCAACCTCTAACAGAAATGAGTATCAGGAATCTTCCTGTGGGGGTAAAGGGCAGCCAGCGCATAAAGCTGACAACCTTACCACCATCTGTGGGCCGACTGTCTAGAGAAAATGTGGGAGCCTCGATGTCTCACAAACCTATGGGCCTTCATGGTCTGTTATAGGGATACTTTTACCTTTTACAATTAAATACTGTTCTGTGTAATTTCCATTGTTGACTGTTAATTTAAACTCAAGTTGAAATTCTTAGGCTCATAAAACTTTCTCTACAGGACCCTGTTTGCCTCAAGCTTTAAATACAACTGACTGCCTTTTCTTGCAGTCACTTCACGTTTTATGTTAGCACTATGCCACCATACAGTAATTCCATATGAAAGAAAAAAGGTACACATAAAGTTAAAGGGAAAGTTGTTCCTGTGCTTAATTCATTGCATATGGGGTAGTGGAGGTATTGTCCTTGCATTCTTAACCTCAGCATTAGATGGAGGTTAGTGTCTAGCTACAAACCTTTACCTTCTGGGAAAGAGCCCCCAGGACCCACTGGAAAGGAGGCTGGGTGGGCCCCAAAACCAGTCTGATTGCTGTGGAGAAAAGGGAAACTCTTGCTATGTCAGAACTTAACCCAAATTCCTCGGCCATCCAGCTATGGACACAACGTATGTTGAAGAACTCTGTCTTCTGGGATGTGGCGCCGTGTAGATATTGTGTTAACAAATGTTTCGGAGAAACGTTTTGCCTCAATCTTCAGCCACCTGCTCGTGCTAGTTCCTCACTCGCAGATTTCTTATACCCTGAAGATGGAGGCGAAACGTTCCTCTGAAACGTCGGTTAACACAATATCAACACAGCATCACATCCCAGAAGATGGCATCTTCATAGTCACTACCATGAAAACTTCAAATCTTACACAACATATATTGTTCTCATAACATCCGATTCAGTAATTTAGACAGTCCCTTAATTATACAGGGTGAGTCCTATAGAACTGGCTCGATGAATTTGCTAATAATTCCGCAGGTGATGTATATAACCGCTCACAATTACGACATAATAATCTGTGGGCTGTGCTGAGTCGAATGGTGTGCGCATGATCCGGCAAGTGACAACCCTTATGCTGCAAGGTCAAGGACAATCCCAAAACATGTCTGCAGTGCGCAGGCGACAGTCATGGAGTATACTGTTTAACAGCGAGTGTTTCTAGTGCCTACTTGAAAATGGCGGACACTTTCAACACCTGCTCTGATCACGGCACACAATCCAAGATAAGATATGCATAAATTACTTTAATATCTGTGTGGTATATTTTATATTACAGCTCATTTCGTCGGGCCGGTTCTGTATGAATCACCCTGTAGTTTACCCTACTGCAGATTTTGTCACTCGGTGTCAATATGTCAGCCTACATAACAGCCCAAGTAAAAGAGCAATATTTTGAATCAATAAAAATAAATTAAAGCTATCCCTGTAACAGGCCGTGAAGGTCCATAGGGTTGTGAGATGTTGAGGGTCTCACATTTTCTAGGCAATCAGCTCAAAGATGGTCGTAAGGTTGTCAGCCTTATGCGCCAGCCACGTTTTACTCCACAGGAAAATTATTCACTTAATTCCTGGTACTCATTTCTGTTAGAGGCTGAGTCGACCCCAGGGCCATAGTGCAGCTGGAAGGATTAGTTAGCTCAACTGAAAAAAAAAATCCAATCACCTCATCAGGACTTGAACCTGAGACCTTCCGGCTTATAGCATAGTGCCTCAACCGATAATACATTTAATTTATACAGACTTTTAAATCAGAGATTTAGTTACTTTGCCTTGTTTGGAACAAGAACATGTTCTGTTCTCCTTAGTGTGTAGATTGTTGATCGAAGATTTAAAGGGGGAGGGGCTACCATATCACAAATCATCACGCTGCCATTCTAGCCATAAACCAATTAAAACCTTATTAATCACTGACCTACAACAAAGAAGTGCTGTGTTACTTGTCTTGTGTTGTTAGATTTAACTACTTTCTTCTTTCGAAGAAGAAATTGAGATATCATCTGCAAATACACAACCAACAATAATTTCTCTGTGATCAGCTGTCAATATTTTAATGAGAAAAATGTTTATTTAGAAGACCTACTTGAACCATATTCTTTATTATTTCAATGTTGTTATTATTACTGCAGTAGTGTAGTTGGTTGAGGACCTATGCTACAAGCTGAGGTGGAATTTTTCATTTGACCTAACCCTTCCAGCCGCACTATGGCCCTGGGGTTGACTCAGCCTCTAACAGAAATGAAACCAAATTTGTTTCAATATTTGAAACTCTGTTCATCCAGGAGATGTGAGGTTCTCAAGGCACCACAGCCTGGACAACCATAATCTTTGTTGTTGCCGATTATCAATGAAACTAAACCTAATGTTACGATACCTAACTACACAATTTTTGACAATATAAAAACTGGTAACAAAAAGATAGCCTGAGTGACAAAGGTAATACACTTCCAATAACTAACTAACTAACTCCATGGAGCTGCACCTTTCTTGGAAACCTGACAGTTGCTCGGCTACCCAGTAATTTCCCAACATTTTATGGAGGTTCATTACTGTGTTCACAACAGCCCTCCACTGGTCCCTATACTGAGCCACATCGATCCAGTCCATACCACCTCATTCTATCTCTCTAAGATCCACTTTAGGATTATCCTTCTACCTACATCTAGGTCTTCCTAGGCACTTCTTTCCTTCTGGCTTTCCCACCAAAATTCTACATGCATTCCTTTCTCCCCCATACACACTACATTCCCTACCCATCTCATCCTCCTTGACTTGATCAGTCTAATTACACTTCAGGAAGAGTGCAAGTTATAAAGCTCCTCATTTTGCAGTTTTCTCTAACTGCCTATCACTTCATCCCTCTTTGGTCCAAACATTCTCCTCAGCACCCTGCTGATACACTTCAAAAACAATATTTGAAAGGCTCTGTCCTGGTTTACTAATCACTTCTTGCAAAAAAAGTATCCAGCAAAGCACACTATTATTACACAATTACAATTATTCCACTCTCCATGCCTTCCTTCAGTCAATTTGTTATTCTTCCCAAGTATAAGTTCATGACAGTATGAACAATAATAAGAGTTAGCGTCCATTGTTTATCTTCCATCAAAATTACAACACTTTTACATTTTACTTTTTTTAAACTGACTACTAAGATAACACCACAGCTGTGGAGGAAGCACATACAAACCAGGAGCATATGGCAAACAAAAACTGAAAGTAGAGCACGAATGTGAGGGGCAAGCTGCCAACAAAAACACCGTGATACATTTACGAAAATGACGACACCCCAGGTGAGGTGGAATAATATACAACAGATATTTTAAAGGATTTTATCGTTTTACTTAAACAGAAGACTACAGCATGTGTTTTAACATGAATTAAAACAGTGTAGCAGTTTTTAACACAGTTTTAGTAAAAATATCTGTAACAAAAAAAACACACCTGAAGATGGCTGTTTGAGGCCGAAACATATAGTGTAGAAGTGTAAAATGTAAAAGTGTTGCAATTTTGACGGAAGATAAACAACGGACACTAATTTGAACAATTGCAACGGGATGCTGAAATAGAGTATAATAATATGAGTGCTCAGAGGCGTGAAGGGCTAATTTCAGTGCTGGAATGTGTAATCACTAAACAGTGTGGTAGCAGATTGAAGGAAGCTCGGCACAAAACATGTAACACACAAATACATCAAGAATTTGGACTTTTTTACTCTGCAACACAAAACAGTGAGGTAGAAGGATATACTCCACACATCCTAATAAGAAGACTATGGAACACATTACAGTATAATAAACCAGTTGTAGAATTCCTTATTTCCTCAAGATTATGTGGTTGTCACCTGCCCTGAAAAACCTTTCCATTATGTCACTTAGATCCAGAAGTATTAAGCAAATGAAAGGTTAGTCGGTTATAAGTTGGAGTAGAGTTATATTTAAAAGGTAAGGTAAAGTCCCTGTGCTTGACTAATTAAGCACTATGCCATAAAGGTGTATGGGGTAGTGGATGTATAGATCAACATTATTTCTTGACCTCAGCTCTTGTTCGAAGTGAGTGACCAGCTTCACGTCCAGACTGCTTTACCCCTGGGAAAACAGCCCCTGGTAACCACTGGATAGGAGGCTGGGTGTACCTCAGAGCCAGTCTGGACAACATGGGAAAGAGAACATTCTTGACCCTATCAGGACTCGAACTGCAATCCCTCGGTCATCCAGCCTGTATCCAGTCACTATACCAACTACGCTATCCCACCTCACCTAGTTATATATAGCAACCAAAATTAATAACAAATTCATATGGTGATAGATTTGGTAGCTTACAGAATTAAGAAGAGGTTGTGATGGCTGCTGCCATATCTTATTGAAGAGCTTCTGCAATTCACTGAAACTGTTAGAAGGTGCAGAATCAAGATTCCATTTTACTTATAGTTTCTATGTTAGTTCCACTGCACTACAGAAATACTCACCTGTGAATAAAAATAACAACATAGCCCTTCTCTAGGAAATATTCAGCTGATGCTGAGCCTCTTGTTCCAGCACTGAAGTTGTCCACAAATCGAACTGTGTTATGTTCCAAAGGCACAGTTGTACCACCAGACTGTAAATATAATTGCATTCCATGGACCCAAAGTTAGTCAAAAATGAATTTAGATATGAAATCATAAAAATAGAAAATGTATGTATACTGTACAAGTGAAGCTTTCACACATAAAACTAAAGACATAATATACACAGGGGATCCATGTAAGGTATATATCATTACTTTCCAATTACGCTATGTATAAAAACATCTGATTTGAAGTCATCGTTAGATTAATAGAAATTAATCAACAGAGCAGAACAAGTGTATATTTAAGCATTTCATTTTTAGTGCTACTTTAAATTGAGCCTTTTCATTCATAAGTAGGGCCCGGATTTCTATGACATGTCATATTTTTTTCCTAGGGTTTATTCCTATTTTTAAATGTAATTATGCATGTTTCCAGTCATTCTTATTGAAATTGTGTCGTTTTTATTGTGCATATAAATGCATATTTTAGAGTTTTATTGGATTTACAGCATATTTTGGCATAATTTTGAAATAATGTCATATTTTTGTCATTTTAGAAACAATTCTTTGATATAATGTAAAATTTCGGCTCCATAATGTTTAGTATTACAAAATAAATTTCAGGCTGGACTGTTGCTTCAATGTGGAATAGAGTTCAAGTACATGAAGTT